GGCAAGCGACGGGAATTTTCAGTTATTAATCTACACCTCCCTCTTGTTGCGTTCTCTCTATCCACCAGTTGAATGTGGCCGCGGGTGCGAGTAGAGGTCTATGGGGCTACCATTGACTGGGACTTGGAGCCCCCTGAACTCATAGAGGGGGATCTGGTCGAGCTCACGATCCCCGGGCGCAACATTCGACACGTTGACGGCCAGTTTGCGTGGAGGTCCATAATCTTGTCCGAGGACGTGTGGCTTTGGACGTATAGAGAGCACCGGCCGGGGCAAGGCGTGGGCGTAGTGAGAGCCTACTTGTATCTGGGACCAGGTGCGGTCAGGGAGGCCGTGGTGGGCTTCGCGACGACAGGGATGAGTGACACAGTTAGCAGGGCGTTATGCTACCTAGGGGAAGAGGTAGCTGCCTTCCGAGCGGAGGACTCGAGCGACCCGTTGACCCTACTTCACGGATGCCCTCCTCTTGATATCCCGGGCGAGTTGGTGGTAGCACGGGACGGGTTTTTCCCGTAAAGCGTTAGGAGCGTGCGGGCGATAGTTCCGACGTTCGTAGTAGAGAGCGTCTTTGGAGGTATTGGTGGAGTGGTCGAGACATTCCCGGCCTATCAGGATCTCAAGATCCTGGCGAGAAGGCCTGCCGACCTAAACTACATCTATTATTCGCTCGCAACCCGTGGGCCTCGTTGGGGAGACGAGAGGGTTCAGCTTATAGAGCTGATCCGCTCGATAGACGACGAGTGGCCCCAATCTCCGTGCGTTTGGGATTGGCTAGACCGTGAGCTCCGAGCARGYCCCGAGTACGTGACCTGCATCGGGCGGCTCTTCTCAGACGACTGGGAGAGCTGGTGGGGTGAGGACGCCGGGCGACCTCTAATATACGGCCATCAGTTGGCACAATACTACCAGGGTATGAGACATGCGCCATACCGCGTCGAGGACGAGTTTGACGACGAGGGTTGGGAGCGAGAGGACGACGAGGAGTTGTGGGAGCCAGACTGGGTCGACCCAGAGAGTGAGGTTGACGAGGAGGAGATTGACGTTACAGACGCTCATTTTTCCAGGATAGGAGTAGCGGTCCGGGCGTAGGAGGTAGAGGAGCACACCAGGGCGACGGTTGAGTGAGTCTGGCTACTGAACCTATTCGACCATACTCGAGCTGAGTGCGAGAGTTGTCTGAAGGGTTAGCAACGTCGAGAGATGAGGTGGGAGTAGAGTGATGCTGACCGAGAGTAGGAGAAGAAATGAGGAGTGATTCAACGGCCTGGTTAGCTTATGTACTCTCACGAGAGTCCGAATCGTATAGTGTGAGGAAGCCTGTGGGACCCAGAGAGACGGCGGTTGGATACGACATACCACTTCCTGTGGCGTTAGAAGAGGCAGGGCGTGCACCGATACGATACTTGGGAACGTGGCTCGCAGAGGGGCTCTTCCTATGGACAGTGATACTACGAGACGAACGACCCGAGAGGACTCATGATCTAGAAGGGCGGACATCTGATACCGGATAGAGCACACAATTTAGAGATAGGGCTAACGCTCGCAGGGGCGAGCAGGAATTGGTGGAGAAGCGAGTTGTTGGCCAGAGTGATCGTCAATCAATAATTGGCGAGACTCTCTGGAGGGAGGATGAGTTGGAGCTGCTTGGTATACGGTCCACCACATCCGACCCTCTACCCGAGAAAGGATTGGCGATTCGGACTTCCTACCTTCGTGATAGGGCAGACCTATGGGAGCATGGATCGTTTGAGTAGAGCAGTGGACCACACACTTTACGCGCTCTGGGAGGGCTTAGCGCCCCGCTTCAAGGAAGTATACTACGCCATTTGTGTGAGGTGGGGGCCGCCCAGTAGAGAGACGTTTGACGACATCATAGATGTTACTAGCTGGGTGAACTGTCTGAGGCCTATCAATCTGACTAGGTACTGCAGGAGACAAGCAGAGATCGATTACGCGGGGCTAGAGGATGCGAGATTTCTCTTCGAGGCCGCAGCTTAGGGAATGCTGGGAAGGACGACCACGGTGATGCGTGTAGAAGAGCAACTGGTAAGCGCAGGATACACTGTGACAGTACTTCTCCGAGCGTACATAGACGAGGACTTGACAGCGAGTGAGTGCAGACAACGAGTTAGGGATTTGATCCACGAGCGTAGAGATGATGTACTGGCACGAGTGACCTTCCAGACCTCGATTTCCTATGATGTGATGATATGGTCTCATGGTTATATGCGCGCGGAGCACTACCACAATGAGACAGTAACGGAGGCTAGAGTGAGGGTGAGCTGGGAAAAAATGTGGACTGAGCATGTAAGAGTAGAGTGAGGCAGTTGGAAGAGTCAGAAAGCGCATAAAAGAACCACTCTTGAACCAGGTAAAGAAGTTGGAGAACAAGTCAAGGAAGATCTGGTCGTGTCAGGACGAGGGCAAGTTGCGTAGGGCTGAACTCGTGACAAGAGTGTTAGACAATCTTTTTAGGGAGGAAAGAGAGATTATCCAGGCGTGGAGATCAGACTTTCTGGAGAGGGTAGAGGCTAGAAGCGTATCACGCGAAGAAACTAGTGAGCGATCTGCAGAAAGCGAGACAACGAAAGACAAAGTAACGCAGGGAAGTAGCGACAGGACATGAGCGGGACTACATTACACACGACGGATCGGTACTCATTATATGTGGTAGGGAGACTCGACGGACCATTAATGTTAGTGATCATAGAACTTCAGCTCCATACCAGACTGTGCATAGTTGAGGAGGCAGAGTGTGTCCGCCGCGCGCTGCTTGAGGCTAGGGGAACAGGACTTTGGATTGGAATAGAAGGAGGACGGAGGATAAAATACGTACTCCAAGTGACACCTTTCGAAGGGCGGTCTAGGATAAGGGCATGGTACGAGACGACCAGAGAGGCTGAGAGGTTGAAGATAAGTGAAGCTAGGAAAGCTGGAGAGTTAGGGAGAGTTGTAACAGATGGTGCAATACTCAGGGTGTTAGCCGCTCACGACCGGTACTGGAAGGAAACGATAAAGACTTTAGAGGCGATAGACGATGGAGGAGATAATGAGGACTTTGAGACATTTTATGACATATTGGAGCGGTCAGCGATGAGGTTACAAGTGGTTATAGCACTAACTTACCTCAGCTGTTAGACAAATGACCTCGTAGCCGTTGAGGAGATAAGGTAGTGGAAATAGAAATTGGAAGCTTTTGGAAGGATAGAGGAAGCTAGAAAGGTCGATGGGCGACATTGGACGACAGCAGGAGGGCCTTTAGCGGGCTAACCGATTCAGGACAGGGCTAGGAAAACTAACAAGGAGGACGGAGAGAGACGCTCAGAAACTCTTGAGGGGTGTTGATCAGGAGACATTGGCTAGGTTTGGGACTACGATCTGTCTCAAGGATAGAGGTCCTGTCACGGGCGTACTGCGGATCCGGACAGGCACGGCCTTGTTGCCCGATCCCGAAGGAGAGGTTACTTAGACACAGGGATTCTTGGGATAGAGGGAGAACACGAGATCTGCGATCGGTACGGGATACTGGAGGTGGTAATCAAGGCAGTCGAGAGCTAAGATTGGAGGCGGACGCGAGCCGTGACAAGGAAACGGGTCCGGGCTGCCGCAACTGTCACAGGTCCGGGCTGCAGCGACTGTCATAGGGTCGGGCTGTAACAGTTGGCTATAATACCTAACTGCATCTTCTGGCGGTCCAATGGAACCCGACACGATGGGGCCACAACCGACCACGGGCGAAGCGGGAGAGGAGTACAGGACATCGCCCGATCGAGCACTGAGGGATCTGAAGGAACGAATTAGGCAAGAAGCACCGCTGAGATGGGCTGACCAAACCAATGACGGAGGGTCCGACATAAGAGGCGAACCAGTTGCGACAGAGCCCAGAAGGCTCTAAAGACGGGTACCTCGAGCGGACGACGAGAAGCGACGAGGCGACGCTCCCCCGAGTACGAGCGGAGGGACACCATAGCGGACAGGYACAGAGACGACTGGAGAGAKAATTTGAGGGATTCCTATTRRAGGGACAGAGATAGAGACAGGGCGCCGCCCAGGCGAGTCTTCGACCCCCASACAGGGGAGTCACATCCGCTCCCTTACGAGAGCAAGGATCGCTATATTATTACGCACAAGGCCTCAGAGCCTCCTACCTTCAGGGGCTATGGTATCACAGAATATCTGGAGAAGTGGGAGCTTCACGCCAGCCGGAGTCAGTGGTCGGAGGAAGAGATTATAGAGAACTTTCTATTTAATGTGGACCCAAGTCTTGGTTGGGAAGTTAAGGAAGCTCGACCGAAGGATGGGAAATGGACTACGTACAAGAAGAACCTCGTTSAGCTTTACAAATTGGAGGATAACAAGTATTCCATCAAGGACCTTGAAACAATGACTCAAGATGAAGATGAGAGCGTACGGGCATTTGGGATGCGTTTCCAGAAGATCTCCGACGTGCTCATGAAGAAGGTGAAGATCTCAGAGGTCGAGCGTTGTACTATCTTCATCGGACACTTGTCCAAAGGTAGGCAAAAGAGTATACTTAGAGATCTTCCGCGCGACAGGYTTGATTTYCCAGAAGTCCTAAAGCTCGCGATAAAGGCAGAGGCAGACGATTACAAGGACTTGGTGTGGAGAGGGATGAGGAGACGTGACTTCTCTCTCTACAAGGAGTATGCCACTGATAGATGTTCTGATTTTAAGGTTTATCCCTGGTCGGAGAAGAATGAGGCCGTGGCTGAGGAAGTGAAGGAGATACGGGACATGGTGAAGGGATTAACGAGACAGGTTACAGAGATTGTGACCACTACAGGGGCCACGGCCTACCGGGACAAACCTGGAGGGCCCTATTCACTTCGCTGGGACCGTAGGAACAACGATCCCTAGAGGAGTGTCGGGGATAGAAATCCTCGGACGCTGACTGATTATCGTACAAGGGGAAGAGAGAGAGACGATGAGCCATGGCGACGTACGGACGATGAGATAGACCGAGACCGCAGAGATCGCGAGCCGTTTGTGCGAGCAAGGAGGCTTGATGATTACCCGCGAAGCCCTCGCTATGAGGCCGATCGGGGTAGAGGCGACTCCCGCGGCCGATGGGAGACAGATCAGGGCCGACGAGATGGATAGAGGGACGACAAATACGAGAGATCGGACCGAGATGGATATAGGGACGACAGATACGAGAGGTCGGGTCGAGATGGCTACAGAGGAAGTAGATATGAAAGAGGAGATCGGGGCTGGGAACGACAAGATGGGTCGCGCGGACGGTTTGAGCGCGGGGGAGATGCGAGAGAGCAGCGCGACGAGTCGCGGGGGTGGTACAACCGAGGGGACCGATGTGATGAGTCACGAGGACGATATGACTCGGGGGACCGCCGAAATGATTCGCGAGGGCGGTATGAGCAAGGAGGGTCTGGAGGAGACCGCCGCAACGATCCGCGCGGTCGGAATGAGAGAGGGGGATATGGCGTCTCATCAAAACCATATCCCAAGTCGCCTGACCCCAAGGCGGCCAGGAGYTCGATCTCTAGAGGCGCAGACGACAGGGCATCTACTCCCAGGAACTCATGGGTCTACTGTAGAGGAGAAGATCATGTCAAGAGGGATTGCCCGGACCTCAAACGGGCAATAGATGAGGGACTTGTCGTGCTTGACGACCGCACGTACGTTAAGTGGGCAGATGATCTGGGAGATGTATCGATGTTCCTTTCGATGAAGGAGAATGTCGAAGCAAGGAGAATAAAGACGAGTAAAGGAATGGAGCCGGTCAGGAGCCAGAGCATCAAGATAACCTTTGAGGGGGATATCGCGACCACACCCATAAGGGTGGCAGCCACCAAGTCGGCAAGAGGGTCTACATCAAAGAAGACTGACACGGATAACGTGATGGCAGAGAAGGACAGGCAGCGGGTCGATGGAGAGGAGGTTATCCTTTCGCCGCGAAAGCGGGGAGTGAAGAAGTTCTTAATGAAGAGTTCGCTGGAYGAGATTGACACGGTCGAGCCACTGAGGCGGGCCCTTCGGCAACCCATGCAGTGCTCTATTCTGGAGTACCTGGCGGCATCGAAGCCGGCTCATGATGAATTACAGATGATCACGCGGAAGACTCGCATACCTCTATCAGAGGCCCCTAAGGCGGAAGCTTCTACAGTAGCAGTAACGGGGGTGACTGCCAGAGCGGATCGCATGGCGACAGTCCTTCTCGATGGAATGGAAGGTGTGCCTCCAGACAAGTTTTATATACTTGGTAGCGGGGCCGTGGAGACAATTATAAACGATGGAGCGGTACTCGATGATGTGATCGATAACGGCAGTGAGGCTGTCATCATAGACGAGGACCTGGCAGTACAGGTTGGACTGGGCCTCGATAGGTCATACCTATTCGAGATAGAGAAGGGTGATGGGAGAAAGCAACAGATCACTGGGGTTTGTCACAATGCAGCCATAGAGGTCCAAGGGGTACGAGTGACTCTGCCTGTTTTTTCAGTCAAGAACTGCAGCTCCGACCTGCTCTTGGGTTGAAATGGCTGAGCCACGTGCATGCGGTGACGATAGAGCGACCTTATGGGAGCCAAACATTGTCCATTAGGAAGCCAAACGGGACGCGAGTAATGATTGAGACAGTGGAGCCTCGGGACCCGAGGAACAGAGCAGCTCTCGCTGTGGGTGCAAGACCCAGTGATCAGATTAAGTCGTTACCTATCTCCGGCCGCGCGGTGCGATTTCGCGAGAAGAGGTATGGACCACTGCTCACAGAGGAGGAAGGTCGGATCGTGGAGGTGGAAGATTTAGGGAGTCGGCTAATAGTGGACGGCAACTCGTACCCAAAGGAAAAAGATGAGGAATTTGGCGGTGTGATATCCGTGTCTTTTTTAAGGGCACGACCCTCTATGGGGGGCTACCCAAGCGACACAAGCGAGTAGCTCAAAAAGTTAAGCCAGCGGCGGTGGGCCGCGAGCGATCGGCACTGGAAGGGGKATCAGAAGAAGAGATCGCGAAAGAAATCAAAGAAAGAAAGAAAAAGGAGCCRCAACGCCTAACGGAAGAGAGGATAGCAGGGATGGACATCGGAGATGGAAATCTGCCCCCACAGGAGCGAGGACATGTGATAGAAATTCTGAAGACATGTGATAAGGCAATAACTTTCAGCGACGCGGAGCGCGGTAGGATTGACCCTCGATACGCTAAGCCAGCGAGGATTTATACGATTCCACATGTTCCTTGGAATGACGCAGGATGGAAATACGCCCAGAAGGAGAAGGAAGAAGTTATCGCTTTCCTGAAAGAAAAGATGGTTTCCCATGTTGCGGAGCCGTCTGATAGCGCTTATGCTAATCGATGGTTCTTCCTACGAAAACGGAATGGCAAGATCCGATGGATCCAGGACCTTCAGAAGGTCAACGCAGTGACGATACGAGACGTGGGCTCCGTGCCACACGCCGATTTACTGCAGAAGGCGCAACAGGTAGGTCGATCTATTCGGTCTGTGATCTGTTCTCAGGCTATGATGAGGTACCACTTGACCCTAGGGACAGGCACCTCATGGCTATGCATACGCCAATGGGACTAATTCAAATGATGGTTGTCCCTATGGGTTGGACTAATGGGGTAGCCGTTTTTCAGAGAGCCATGGTASYCGTCCTYAAGGACTTCATCCCTGATAAGGTTGAAGTTTTTCTGGATGACTTTCCTATAAAAGGGTCAGTAGACAGGGATGAGACAGAGGTTGTACCTGGAGTTAGAAGATTCGTCGAGCAGCACCTAGCAGATATTTGCGCGGTACTCGAGCAGCTGGACGATGCGAATTTAACAGTCAGCGGAACAAAGAGTCGATGGACCGTCTCGACTATTAAGATCTTGGGTTTTATCTGTGACTCGAGAGGACGCCGAGCAGATCCGGTGAAGTTAGACAAACTTCTGAACTGACCCTCACCGTTACATAGCCCAACCGAGGTCCGGCAGTTTCTAGGAGTGGTCGGTTACTGGCGTATATTCATACGGGGGTATGCGGAGAAGGCTGAGCCATTGAGGTTACTCCTTCAAAAGACTGAAAAATTATATTGGAATTCTTGGGCGCGCTGAACCTTACGGATAACCTTCAAAGATGGCAAGATGGGTGGTCGCGCTCGGCACATCAACGGACCGTCTTTTCCGGCCGTTACGAGGGGTAGACCCGGATTTGCCTGCCGCGGAGAGGCATCGTGGGAACTGACCTCGCAGCCACCTTTTTGGCGACATACGACCAGGACCAAAATGAGGCCTCAAATTTTTGTCTATTTTAGTACCATAATTAAAGATGGGGAAGAGGGATTACGACCAGTAGGGGAGAA